TCTACATTATTCTTTAGCGTTGCATAGTATTCCATTGTGTGAATGTACCAAAGTTTGGTTATCCATTCCTCAGTTGTTGGACATCTAGGTTGTTTGTGATAGAGATTTCTAAACTCTATTTTAACCTTATGGGACCAAGGAAGTATATGTGGTCGGACATTGCCAGAATGGATGTTATGCTGCATATGACTGCATAGTGCATTGCTTATGTACAACCAAACACCTCATGGGATTTGGTTCCTTAGTTTGGAGGTTTAGGGTCATGGTTTAATAAGACATCTCAGTTAATTGGCCTAATACCATATTCAGTGCTTCTGTTCTACCTCCTAGTCCATTGCATAGTGCCAGGAGACTTAAAAGCTTGCAAGTGGCCATTCAAGGCATGACAACTGGTCTCAATTCATCTGGAGCAAAAGGAAGAGAGTCAGGAATACGAGGAGTAAATGGAATATGTGCCTAATTGCCTGGCAAGAGACCAGAAGAAAAGGATGGTGGCCTAACTACTAGAAGATTCCTGATCAAAAGGGGAAAGATGCAGAACAAAATTTGAAAATTGGCATGGAATCCAGATGAACCCCAAAAACTACTGCCTTGAAATAACCTTTAATTGTCAAACCAAAAATATCCTGAGTCTTCTTAAAATCAAACAATAGCTTAGCTTAAATAGTAAAGAAAGTCTACCTTATCATTGTCTTCTTTTAAGATCTGTGTATATGGCATCAAATTAACAATGCAATGCAATACAACACACTGCCATGGAGTTGGATCCGACTCATAGCAACCCCTCCTTGGGTTTCCGAGGCGACATCACTACAGAAGTAGATTGCCCAACCTTGACAGCAACTCGAAATTAAATTAGACAGGAACCTTAGAGAATAGTGAGTTTATGTTAATAGGGGAGGAACAACTAAGAAAAGGAGGGTGAGACTGATTGTACAACTCCAAGAATGTGATCAATACCACTGAATTGTACATGTAGAAATTCCTGAACTACTGTATGTTCTGCTGTGTATATTCTCAACAACAAAATAAATTTTGGAAAAAAGTACTTCATCTGTGTGATTTGAGTCAAAAGACCTGCTCTGTCAACTCGGATCATCTGAGAAGTAAATGCTAAGATGGGATTAGATATACAGAGATTGTTGGAGAGAAGGCCCAGGAAGGATAAAGGGGGAGGGAGCCAGTGTAGACTGGATGAGCCATCAGATTGTGATGCAGGTCTGACACCCAGGAAGGGAGAGAGGAAGGAAGTCTCAGATGGCAGACAGCACTGAAAACACTTCAGCCAGGGCACCAGGGAATCCCTGACAAAACGTGTGTATTGGAAGAGTCCCACATTGGTCCTAACAGCCCCACCATGCTCAGTCATTGGCTGGGAGCAGTCTGGGTACAGGGTGACCTTGACATGAATATGGTGGGAGATCCCACAGTGTGGCAGCTGAGCTGTCAGCAAACTAGGCTCCTGCTGCGAAGGTCAAAGAGGTGGACGAAGGAAGGGGAGGGCTTCGAGATAAGGGGAACAGCTTGAACAAAGGCATACAGGTGTGGAGTTGACAGCAGTCCAGGGAACGAGGGATGCATGACACAGGGCAGGGTGTGGGAAGCAGCAACGGAGAACATGGAAAATGTGCAGCCCAAACAGCAAGCTGTGTGTTGTGAAGGTTCTGGCTTGGGACTTCCTGCTCTAAGTCATGAGTTACTAGAGGCTGCCACAGGGAGGGTGGTGATAGAATATGGCAGCAGGGAGAAGGGATTAATGAGGAGACAGGGGACAGGGAGGTCACTCAGGGGTCTGTAAGAAACATCTTGAGTTTTCCTTGAAACTAGTAGACACTGCTGAAGAAATGTGAAAGTAATGTTGGCAGATGCCACGTTTGAAACTGAAGGAGCTCTGGTAGCATAGTGGCTAAGGCACTTGACTGCTAACCAGAAGGCTGGCGGTTCAAACCCACCAGCCACTCCTCGGAAGGAAGATGGGGCAATCTACTTCCGTAGTGATACTGCCTGGGAAACCCAAGGAGAGGTCACTATGAGTCGGGTCTGACTCGATGGCATGTAACAACAACAACAACAACTGGTGGCACAGTGGGTAAGGCAGTTGGCCGCTAACCAGAAGGTCACTGGTTCCAACCCACAGCTACTCCATGGGAGGAAGATGAGACAATCTACTTCCATAAAAATTTACAACTTTTGAAACCCAACAGTGGTCACTATAAGTCAGAAGTGACTTGATGGCATAGAGTTATAGTTGAAATCAGACAGCAAACTCAGAGATGACCTTTACCAACGTGAAAACAAGAAAATACTGATGACCAGATAAATCAAGGGCTTGTTTCAAGATCACACAACCAAAGCAGGTTTCTGAATTCTTAATCAATGGAAGTAGACAAAAAACAAAAAGGCCTCATGCATGGGTCAAAAATGTTTGGAGAAGCCA